TTTTTGCTCCGGGCAAGAGAGCAAAAAGTGAAGTGACATCGGTACAGTTACTTTGAGTTTAAGGTTACAGAGGAGCTGGCAGCAGTTTATGCTTTGCACATGTGCATGTTTTGATAGGGCTGAAATGGGCTAACTAGCAGGTGTTACTACCAACAGCCTAAATCTGACAGGGAAAAATGCAGGACTTTTGAAGTGGACGCAAGATTTTCTCTAAGTTATTGTAAGATCTTCACAATATGTAACGTGTTGAGGCGACTCCTGTTGTGGTTTGGTGCTATATATAAATAAAACTGTATTCAAAAATTGAAATATAATATAACTGAAATGAACCAAGCGCTGTACAAGAGGTGATGTGTAAATTATTGATAAAAATTAACCACAGTGTTGATGTTGTAACTAAAATACCCACCTTGATAAAAGTAAATTTGTTTGTAGTTTTGGAGCAGCATAAGACAGGATATGGTGACATAAGCTACCAAAACAGTCATATGGCTCAGCCTGGGTATAGTGCTGAAAACAGTTTGGGACCTGCTTTTGTGAGAAGACGGAGAACATTCCAGGGCACTCAGAGGAAGAATGGACGCAGATCTTGCATTTGCTGTTTATGTGACTCCACTAAATACCAAACTGTAAGGCAGGGGTCTATTTGCACATGAATTGCATAGTCCTATGAAGGCTTTTATTAGAAGGTTGCAGTTTCTTTCAAGATAACTGGAGCGCTACATTCTTGCTCACATGCCACCTGTGAAGATATTTTTGTCTTTGGATTTACCTTTATCAGAACAAAAATTCTCAGTGATAAAGTTTAGTAAGAAAAACAAGAAACAGTAACAAAAAAAATGCAGATGAGGTCATTAAATTACAAGCAAAATAGCAAAATAAGAAAAACTTCTTTGCAGGCTTGGAATCATTGTCCAGTTGTATTATCCAGTTTCTAACAAACGATAATTAGTTACTGATTACTTTTTTTAAGTAACTTGACCACCACTGCTCGGGAGTACTACATACAATATGGTACAGACTCTATCCAATCATGTGAAAAACTAGGCACAGCTCATGATTCAACATCTTGTAGAACCAGCTCTAGCAGCGATAATTTGAAAATTATTGTGGAATATTTTTTGGCCCTTCTTCTTTATAACACTGCTTAGTTCCTTGAGGTTTGCAGGCATTTGTTTATGCATAGCACCCTACAGGCCCTGCCACAGCATTTCAATCAGTTCGAGGTCTGGACTTGATGATAATTACTCAAATGCACTTGATTAGCACCACCTAGCTGCAACTTACCCTCTTAATTTCTATAGAAGCATTAAAAGTGTACTTAGTTTTTAAAAGGACTTCAAGGAGTCCTGTCTTTTTCAAATGACTGTATGTTCAGACAGTTTGTGCAGCTTAAAAAAAGCTGTCTTTTTGACTCGTATTGTCGGTGCACCACATGGAAAGCGGTCACTGGTTATTTGGATTTGTAAAAGGCAATAGGAGAGGAGATTACATAAAGATAAAGGTTGGTATTATAATGATTTCAGGCATTCTGACATTTGTAGTAAGTGTATGGCCTTCAGTGAGCTGCCATGGCAAAATGTTTCAAAGTTAGCTGCATAAAATTATTACTACTATTAAATCTGACTTTTAGCTCTTAACATACTCTTACCAGTGACATGCGGTTCATTCATCTCAGTTTAAAAAAAGAAAAAAAAAGAGTCAAACAACTGACTTTACAATATTTTGGATGAGTTCTCTCTTTTCTTTTTTGCAGTCTGACAGAGGACTTTGCTACACATTCAGCATTTCATGTGGAGCTAAATGAGCAGATCTGACAGACCCGTGGTTTTCTGTGAATCAAAGCTGGTTCTTGACAGTACGGTCTTCTCTGTTTGTACCAGCATGTTCAGCTCTTAATTCAAAGATTGAAAGACCTCAGTATCATAGCAGCTCACAAGATGCAAGTCAGTGAGGCAGGAGCGCAGGGATAGGTGGTATGTATTAGGAAAAAAACATCTTTTTGCATCATTCATAGTCATGGGATTGGCAGCTGATTTCTTCAAGTCAACTTCCACTTGACACGTTCGGAGCTGTATTATATAAATATCAGATTAAAACACCAACTTTTATTACATTTTTCCTCTCTTACTGTGAAAGAGGAAGAAGAGGGATCACTTATGTCTCACTTTTGATTAATTAGTGATTACAGTTGTACTTTATTGTAGGATGCATGCTTGAGACTACAGAGAGCAAGGTGCAATTATCTTACTGTGTTTCTTACAAGTTGCTTGTTGTTAATGATTTATTTGTGGTCCAGCAAAATCATTGTTATTTTGAATTATTCCTATAGCAGTAAAAGTGCCCCGCCCCACCATTTATGGAGTCTTGCTCTCATAAAAAGTCCATTTAAATGTAAATAAACTTTTGCTGTGCAAACATTTTGCACATACTCAATGTACACATTCAGCAAGAACAGGATGTGTTAGTTTGTATTGTCTACATGGTGCATGGTGTATGTGTAAAAGAATCTTCGTCAAACTGTCTCACCAGATACGCTCAGATATATCAGATAAGGTGTCAGACGTGTGCGTTTTGCTGAGCACAGTGCAGCAGACAAAACAGATATCTTCGCATCCTTGAAAACCACTCCTGCCTAAGGTACGTATGTTGAAAGTACAGACATTAATTGAATATTTACCATTTTTAGGACCATTGAAAAACAATCACAAGCTCTTATATGCATTCAGTTGTCTGGTTTGCTTGTTATTTCACAGCATACCTCTGATGGAGCTGCTGGCTGACCATGGGGGAATGGTGTTTCGCCTCTGGTAGAAAAGGATGTAAGCACCCCTTGTGCACACTTCCTCATCTTGCACCAGGTCTACACTGCTGTCGTCGTAGCTATACCACTGACCATCCACTGAATTCCTACAGTAAGCTGGAATAAAAAACAGACAACAACGGTAAATAATGTTTTTCTCGCATAATTGTTATCAGAAAATTGCATGCAATATGGAGATGAACTCATTTTCCCCCTAAAATGCATAGCCTTGGGAGGTCCATAGCACATAATCTCTTTGCTGCCTGTAAATACAGTGTACATAGAATAGCTTCACATTTAAATGTGAGTTGTAGTTTCCTTCACTGCAGAGACTGTTGATAGTGTATGTTTCTCAGCTTGTTAAAGCAGCAAGACAGAATACATCAAGGACCATTCCTGGACACACGGAGGTGCTCTCCAGCTACAGTTTCTTGTTGTTCAGGTGCTATTTTGATTTATTTTAAAAATGTGTTTAAAGATGCTGTTATTTTTTTTTCATTCCAGTAAAATCAGATCAATTTTATTTATTTTTCTTAGTTAAATGAGGGACACCACCACAGATTGTGTTATTGTGCATAACACAATTGTGCATAACACTGTTGGGCTCTCAGGTAAAAGAACCAGGACAGAATGCAAATGTAAAGTGGTAGCTGCCATGGTGAAGACCTGCTTTCTCCTAATCTCCAGAAATTAGGTACGAGTCTTCAATTTTATTGTTGTATTTCAAATGTAAATTTGATTTATTTCAGAGCCCGCCATATTGAATGGTGCGTATGTAATGTTTTGTATTGATTGTAATGAAATTGTGCATGACAGTTATTTACATTTTTAATGAAAATAAAGATTAAAAATAAATAACTAAAAAGTTGTCCTGCTAAGGATACAGTACAACGTCACTGCATTGAGGAGCCAATCGGCGGGGCTTTATACCACAAAATCTTGGACAACCTTTTCTCAACCAGAAAATTGAAGATATGCTAGAACACCTGTCCACGGCCTAACAAGGACCCAAAACATAATGCCCAGGTAACAAAGAAGCATATCAGGGTCATGTAGATGCCTAGCCAGACCTCAGTCCTGTAGAAAATCTATGAAGTGAGCTGAAGCTTCGAGTTGCAAAGCAGCAGCCAAGAAACCTAAAGGATTTGGACAATTCTGCAAAGAGGAGCAGGCAAAAATCCTTCATCTGATGTGTGCAAACCTGGTGACCATCTGCAAGAAATGTCTTATCGCTGAGTTTGATAACAAGGGTTTCTCCATCAAGTACTAAGTCATGGTTTGCTTGGGGATTAAATGCACATTTAAATCAATGACATGCAAATCAATTTAGGTGCTTGTGAAATGTACATTGTGTTTTTTTTCTTCTTTTGATGGTTTTCAGTCTCCAGTTAAAATGAAACATTGAAGACTTTATATTAGTTGTCAGTGAGCAAACGTACAAATTCAGCAGGGGAATTAAGGAATTATTGTTTCCCCGACTGTACATAAACTAGACATAGACTGTACATGATGTTATTTTACTAATGGAGAGCCACCCATTAGTAAAACAACATCATTCTTATCAGACACACGTAGTTTGATAATCCTCTACATACTGACAGTCTAAATGGCAGCCTAGACAGGACCTGAAATTGGAAATCCATCCCACATTTAGGGACTCACTTAGCGATTTGCAATTACTGTGCACAGGACTATTGGGATGAACCACAGTTCACTGAGCTAAGGACAGTAGAGACCCAGACTGCTGGAGGGTTGTATCGGATTAAAATTAAAACAGCACAGAGCAGTTTAGTCTGCTGAGGTACTGAGTATGACAGATGGGCATAGACTTTCTCAAAACTGATTGGTCAAAAACATCTGCCAAAGAAGACAGGATAACTCAGTGTTGCATGTTATTTGTCATTGATAGATCTGAACTGTCATTTGAAATGAAAAATGGTCTTCCAAGTGGAGTTAGCATTCTAGCTAAATCTGGTCCCTGTTGTAATACACACACACACACACACATACACACAGACTAATTTTTATATCTTACTGAGAACATCTAATTGACATAATGCTTTCCCTAGCCACTTACCCTAACCATCAAAAATGAATGCCTTCAGCCTAAACCTAACCTAATTGTAACCCTAACACTAAAACCACATTTGGAGCCTCAAAAATTCCTTCAAACTCGTGGGAATGAGCATTTTGTCCCTCTAAGTGACTGTTGGTCCCCACAAGTATAGTGGCATGCCAATTTTCTGTCCTCACAAAGATACCTAAACATGTACACACACACACAACCCCGTTCAGCTATCTTAGTGAGGACCTTCATTGACATAATGCTTTCCCTAGCCCGTTACCCTAACCATTAAAAATGAATGCCTAACCCTTACCCTAAACCTAACCTAATTGTAACCCTGACACTAAAACCACATTTTGAGCCTCAAAAATGCCTTTAAATTTGTGAGGACCGGGTTGTGTGTCCTCACAAGTGACTGTTGGTTCTCACAAGTGTAGTAGAATGCAGATTTCGGTCCTCACAAAGATAGCTAGACAGGAACACACACACACACACACTTTGTATATATCCATATTATGCAGTAACTTCATTTGTGTGGATGTGCCAACTGCATGACAGAAGAGTGTGTATGAAAAGCAATAAGAAGACGTCATTGTTGCATACCAGTATAATGTCCTCCATGCATTCCTCCGTGATGGTTACACACAGCATAAAGATCATACAGGAATTCATGAGGCAGCATCATGTCAGCAGCTTGGTGTGGTTGGCCTGAGTGCTGTTTCCAGGAAGGTGGTGATGGCCCCATATTCAGGTTCTTCATGCTCTGGCTTCGCTTCACTACATGCGGTGCCATGTCCAGACCAGTTAGAGGGAAACGCACGAGTGTTGACAGCTTGTTCCTTCGCTCTCCAACCTGTTTCAAAAATCATTATTCATGCATACAGTCCATACACACCATTATGTTTGCACATTTTTGTACTTTAAATACTTAGAAATACTTTGTTTTCTTTTGCAATTCTCAATAGTAATGTGCCAATTACTATTTTTGCCTATTGGCAAAGGCTTGACTGATTCTATATCCACTCTTTTGCTGTGACAGGAACAGCAGGGATCCTATCTAGAGAAATGTATGACTGATTGATTTACAAAGCATTGTGTTGATTATAGTTACAATGGAAAACAAAATGTTAATTTCCTTAAAGATGTGTTGTGTCTATAAAGTGATTTGAGGGCACCTGCGGCAAGCAGTATGAAGTTCACAGGGCATACACCAGTGTACCCAGTACAATGGCTCAACAATCACCTTTCAACATGAGAGTGACAAAAGGCATTCAAGCAAGAAAATGCTTGAGTAGCTTTACAATAAGTTTTGACTGTTCTGAGTGGTGCAGTAATAGAATTTCCCAACATAACAACTGACACATGCGAGCCTGACAGAAAGAATCTGAGTCTGAACACACTTTTAAGATATTTCAGCTTTGGGTATGTAATTTATTTGAAAATTTTAAAACATAAATATTTTTGTTTCTCTGTTATTTTAGAGTATTTACCTTACTATATAAAGCACCTTGAGGTAACAGTTGTTGTGATTTGCACCTATATAAATCAATCTGAATGAAAATGAATTGACCAAAACATACAGTGAAAGCTGGTCAGGAGATTTTTGAAAGTAAAGTCAGTACTTTTAATGACCAGGTCTGTCACCTGATCTCACTGAGCAGTGGCTGAAGACAAAGTTAAAAAGAGAACAGCTCGTGAGCAAACAACTGGAATCCACTGCAGTAAAAGCTAGACCTACATTTAGATTCACAAAGCTCTACAACAACAAGTGAATATGCAGGCAAATATTACTCTGTTAGGAATCTGAACATCTACAAAAAGATTCAAAACTAAAACCACCAAATAGCTGCCAAACGAATTAAACGGCAAATAAATAAAGACAAACTATTTGCATATGTCAAAGAAACATAAATGCAACTGGAAATATGAATTCTGCTTTTACTTACTGTCAGTTTTATTCCAGAGGCTCTTTAGAAGTAACCAGAATCAGAAAACAAAAGTTTTAGGTCAGTAAAAGAAGTGCCCAGCAGTTTTCTCTTACATGCTTGTGATTCAGTATGGTTTTTTTTCTTCAAATCACTTTTTAGTATAGAAGCTCTCCTACTGAGATTGGATCCTTATCATGATGGAAGGCCCTGCATAACCCCCAACCTTAGAAATTGTGTTGTGCAGATTACTGGCTCTGGTCTCTGATGCTAAGCCGGCGCTTGGTACAGATTTTGGCAGACTGACTGACTGAATTCTAATGCAGAGAGAAAAGGTGTGTCAGTCAGGAACTCCAAAATCAGGATCTGATACTAGAGTTTTTGAAGAAATGTGAGGTGATCAGTAGGGCTTAACTCATGGGGCCTTCCCTCTTTCTGATTCTTTCTTTCCAAGCAAAGTGTAAAAGACTGAAGTCTGACTTTTTGTCCTTGGCTCTGGACAAGAGCTGTGGTGCCTGCAACACAGCCCACATATACTACTTCCCTTTGTAGGTGGAATAACAAAAGAGTTTGAAATTGAGCAGCTCAATAGGAAGTGATTTGATCATGGAGGCAAGTGCATGCTTTGATAGAAAATGGGAAACACTGACAGGTGTTAGAACTGATGTTTGTCCAAATCTGACATGGAAAAATGTAGGACTTTTGAAGTGGACGAAGGATAAAGTGAATGAAATTAACCCACAACTAAAATTGGTATTTTGGCATTGTATTATACACTAAGAGGTGCTGTGTAAGTCAGAGCAAAATAATTAACCATGTTGCTGATGTCATAACTAAAAGAGTTTATCGGGGAATATATATCACACAGGCGTCAGGGGGTTCAACCTGAGCAAAGTGCTAAAAACAGTGTGCAGCCTGACAGCAAAAATTCAACAATTTTGTGAGACACAAGGCAAAGGACATCCAGAACTGTCAGATGCATAATGGAAAGCTGATGCTGCGTTTGCTGTTGATGTGACTGTCCTTCATGTTTCTACCTCAGCTTTAAAGCACTTGTTCAGGCCAAAAACAGACTAGATCTCTTTCACTGAACAAGAAGAAAGAACTGAAAAACGTCACATGAATACATGAAACTACAAGTAAAATAGCAGTACAATATATTCTGTAAAGTAAAATAAAGTTTAGGGTATTTGAAATTTAGCAAAAACATGTACATTTTACTCACAGTTGTTTTTGAGAATATTGATTAAATTGATAAATTGTCTTAAAATATTGGTGTTTTTAACTATACCGGTTTTACATTTTCATTGCCTAATTGTAACATCTGCTCTCATCAGCAGCAGTTTATAAGGACACAAGATTAATATTGAGCATAAACGAGTCCAGCTTATTGGTGCAGCCCCTCACACCAGTCCCAGTTTCTCAACATTCAACAGTTCCAGGTAAGACCCGTAATGACTGTGAGGAATTATTATGTTCAGCAAGGCGGTATTAAGCACTAATGTAAAATATTACAGCACTACACTCCCAGGAATGTGCGGAGCAATTGTACAGATTAAGTGAAAAGAAAAATCCCATCACTACATAACTTCTTACATCTATTCTATCCACGGAGGACATAAATGAATAGGCTGGGTCTCAGGA